CCATGGCAATGGCTCCTGGGTAAACTACACCTGCGGTGGCAATGGGAATCTGTGCTTGTTGCCTGCCATGGAGAAAAAGTAAAAGGACGTTTGAACGCTGGAAGGAGTAAAGGGAGGGCAAGTACAACAGCACTTTGCAAGCCCACAGCACATTCTCTTTAGGCGTGCAGAGGAAGCTCCTGGATGGCCCCTGCAAGACAACCCTTCTATCAATATTCCAGACACACTGACTGACGCTCTTGAAATGAACATTCAACCCAAACAAACTTAATTGAGCAGAAAACCCCATCTCTGTAAACACCTGTACCTGTACTACAGTTACACCTGTACCTGAACTACCTGCTTGTGATGCAAAGTTCTTCACTGGGTAAACTGGGTGTCCCATGAAATGCCAGCCAAAACACCCCACCCCTTCAAATGTGGTCCAACTTAAAAAACATTTATTTTGAAAAATCTTCCCTTTAAATAATCCAAGCTGCTGCAGGAATAACATATCGGCCAAGGAGGGATGTGGTGATGGCTAGGTAGTTAGAACAAGCATGGGAAGGTGCTGTAGGGAAGCACCAGCAGATGAGGAGGAGGAGGCAAGGCAGGTCTCTCCAAAGAGGCAATGCTTACTCCATATTCACTCAAGAGACCTGGCCATTATTAGGGAGAGGAAGAGTGGGCGTTCTGAGGCCAGCACGGGTTTATAAGATGATCACTAAGGGCCTCCCACTGGAAGGTGATAGTTTCCACAGTGAGCAACACTTGTGAAAAGCAGAACCTTTAAAGGAAGGTGGATAAAATTGGGAAAAAGCAGACTTAAAAAGGAAGCATGCATTATTTAAAAATAAATAAACAGCAAGCAAGCAACACGAGCATTTGAGAAAATCCTCTACAGGATGCCTTTATATGGCATCTAAGCCTTGGAAACCTGTCTGCAGTAATGAAAGAAGAATTATTCCAGGCCATAGAAATTCCCTTTGCATCAAGAACACTACCAGTGTTTGTTTCCCTGAGAAGCTTCAGGGTCCCAACAAGGCTAGAGGTTTAAAATTCATGCTCCTTTTGTTTCCTTGCTGCATGAAGTAATTCCATTGCAGTAATACTCTTCAGAACATGCTGCACATTGTAATGTCATCAGCAGTGTGTCCATCTGCACTGAAAAGCCTTGCCACAGGAGACAGGGCAGAGTCTCTTGAGATGAACATTCTTAATTAAGAATGAAACCCTTCCCTGCTCCCCTGCCTGCCTGTGCCCTGGCTGTACAGTAAGCCTCGCACAGTACAATGATCCTGAAAGACTTTCCTCTGCCAAACAGCTTTACATTTGTTTGGAATTGCTTGCTGCATTTTCAGATACTTCCTGCTTGCCATTGGAGTGAGGCCTCCCTCCTCACAGGCCTTATTTCTGAGTTTCTGAAACAAGTAGAAGTTGTTGCAGCTGAAGATCTAGCTCAGTCTTAAAAGTAGGGAGCGGATCTAATTTGCATTTTATTTCTAATTCAATAGGAAGGCTTTTGTTTTTTGGAGTCAGCATTTCTCTAACAAGATTCAGCACACTTAAATTGCCTTTAATATTTAACACTAGGAACACTTTGCACTTAAATGGTGCTTTTCAGACTGCTTTTCAAATATTAAATAATTTAAGAATAGTATTTTTCTACTTCCATAGGATGTCCACTCCACAGGATCTCAAAGCAGCACTGAGATACTAATGTATTAGGGCTCTCAGCAGTCCAGTCAGGTAAGCTTGCCACACTACCATTAAAGACGAGGACACTGAGGCATAAAGTATTAAGTTCAAGACTTGCAAAAAATGCCCAGTCTCTCCCATTGTGATGCCTTTGGACAGGCCTTCAGAATGTCCCAGCAGCTGGCACAGCCACAGATCCTGTAAGCCCAATCACTTACTTTGGTGTCCAGGCAAGAGCTGGAGTGGCGTTTGGAAGTTTAGCTCTAAATGACCTGTGCTGGGCAATGCAGCAGATGGGAAACTAAAACCAGGAATGCAACTGTAGTGCTGCAACTGCCAGAATCAAACGCTGACCCCACTGCAGACATCGGTGACTCTGTCAGTAACTTCTATAAAGGTTTCACCCCAGGTTCTGTGCTCTAATGCCCCAGTGCAAATTATCTTCAGAAATGAGTTGATTTCAATGTCAGCCTTGTTTGGAAAGCTAAATAATATGCAGAATGTTACAAGGTTATTTTTTTTTCTCATGATGAAGCATGCGTGTTAACCAGATAAGCAGTATTTTGGGGTCTCTGTTGCTACCTATTCTTTTTCCAGAAGGCCCCCCTCCTCTTTTTCTAATCTCTTGATGCCAAATGTTGGCTGACTTCCCTGTGTTTGTTTCAGTGCTTACCATTGGGATCACTGGACCTGCCAGCACCACAGGGTTAAGCAGCTCAAATTTCTCTGCTGAGCGGCTTATTATAACAATGCACACTGTAGCTGTTTAAAACACAGTCTGATGACACTTAACAGTTGCTGGACAGATTCTCTCCTTTATTGCTACTTCTAGCCATTAATTAGAGAGATGTGCAACTCAGTTAATATTAAAATTATTTCAAATTCAGATGAAACAGAACACAAATTCCATTATTTCTAGGGGTTATTCTTAATGCTGGTTTTGCCTTTTTTCAAGGCCGCTGTGTAGCTTTTCATTTTCTGGAGTGAATACAGAAATATTGCGGAATATTTGGTTATTTATAATTCTTTGATCTGCTGTAACCAAAACCAAGGAGTCTTTGCAGAAGGAAAATACATGCTAGTTTTCTAGGCAGATTTTAATCTAATAATATCAAGCTGTTTATCAGAACCAGTCTTCTTGACATTTATGCTCAACACAAAGCATTTAGCATACTGTACTGGAAGACACTCCCTACTATGACAAATGCTGTGACGATGAACAATGAAGACAACTTCATGCCTGATATGAATTATGTGAGCCAAGTCTATATTCCAGCTGAAGTTCAGTATGCTCAGCAGTCCTTTTGCAGACCACTTCGCCACAGATCATACTGAATGCAAACTTGCATTTTTGGCTTTTTGGATCAGGAGGTACTACCAAAGACTCATTCAGATATAATCTCGGAGGCCTCATAATAAAGTAATACTTATAAGGCTTTAATAGAAGACTTACATTTCACTGGAAAATCTTAAGGTTTCTTTTTTCTTTTGCATGATCAGAGTGGAAATGAGACAGCTGGCCACAGCTATAAGATGAGTACACAGCAGAGCCAACAAAAAAATCCCTAACTGCCTAACTTCCTCCTGGAACACATTGTTTCAAAGCAAAAGCTTCATATTCTGTTAGCAATAGAGGATGTTCTTGCCAATAAAATACAACATCTACCACACTGAGTTAAGAATTCTCCCTGAAATTTGTTTTTTTTTCTTTTTTTTTTTCCTGAAACAAGTAGTAGTTTTTAAAGTTCCCATACCCAACATTAAAATACTGCCTCATCTCCTGGCGTCTGTTGCGCATGATGGCCTTGTACTCGCCAATGCGTAACTTTTTGCCATCTACGAGGCAAGTACGCTTCGGCCTGGGCTTGTATTTGTAGTCTGGGTATTTCTCCAGGTGCTGTTTGCTGAGTCGGGCCTGCTCCTCATAGTATGGCTGCTTCTCTAGGTTTGTCATAGCTTTCCAGCGAGATCCTGTCACCAGAAAAAAAAATAAAATTATAAAAAAATAAATAAATGAGATTCTACTCATACACAAACACTGCAAGGCAGAGAAACAAGTAGGTCACCCAGAACAAGATACCTACGGTCATTTTGCTTTGGGCTGGGAAGCTGTCAGAGCTTCTAGACAGGGGTCAGGTCTTGTTTGTATTTGGCTGGTAAACCTCATGGGTATGGCCAAGAGGCAGAGAGAGATGATACTACAAGTTTTGACTCAGTATTTTAATGAAACTTATCTACATTCTAATGTCGTTCAGGTAGGAAGTAAAACCATCATCCTGATAATGAGCAATCCCTGACACTTTTTGTAGAAAACAAGGCAGTGCACTGTAGTGGAATGGCCAAAGACCCCTTAGATACAGAAAAGCTTGCTCTGTCACGCTCCCCCCACCCTCCTTCAGCCATGGGCCTGTTTCCACCTCCTGCTCTAGCAGAGGCACCACTCCTGTGTGCTGCCATCTAGTCGCTGTGCTCCACCAGAGAGGGATCAAGGCATCAACTCTGGATATGCACGTGTCTACAGCTTAGTCTTTCATGAGAAATACCTTATCTTTCCAGCTTCCAGTTTTGTGAGAAGCAGAATATGAACTGATCATTAATGCTATGCTGCTGGGTACAGGAGCCTGCAGAGACCCTGAAGCAATGCCTCTAAAAGCTATAAACTATCCCATATGTCTCAGTGGGGTTTTAACTCCAAGACCAAGTCCTGGCGAACACTGCCAGCTCCATCTTCAAGAATTTAGTATGTGTTATGAAGGGAAGAGCAGTGGGATACTGGCACACCTCTTCACAGAGCCACACTATGGCTTCATTGCTGGCAAGCTTGTTTCTGACACTCTGCCTATGTTAGTGTGGATATTGAGCGAGGGAAATAATGAAGACTTTACAATTGTTTTCAAATATCTCCTGAAATTCATAAACTATTATTTCTTAAAGGACATAATATGGAAGCAGAAAAGTAAAAATTCTTGAAGCAGTTATCCTATTTTATTTTTCCATGAACTACAGAAGGGCTTCGGGGCAAGATAGATTTCAAAAAACAGAAATGGTCCAAGCTGTGAAACATGTGGCCTAGAAGGAAAACTTTATTGGAAAATAGTCAATTTCCCCATTGGAAAAAGAAAGCTTGGACAGTTTCTCAGTTTAACAGCTTCATAATGTCATATGTCATACTTGACTTCCTCTTGTTCTTTATTTTTTATGGTTACTCATACTGTACAGAGTTCATGCTATTACTCAGGCTGGTCTTAGCTCTGTGTGCCCCCGAGATTGGCAATATCAAGAGTGCAGTTATCCCTTCCCAGGAAGGAAAGCAGTTTGGTTCCCTCTAGAAAGGGCCCCTCTGATTATCGACACTATTTTCCCCATTTTTCCTGAGTCTTTATTCCAAGCTGCAGTTTGGGTTTCTGAAATGAAAAGTGAACAGGCTGGTGCAGCCTGACCTCAAACCTAGAGATAACCCATTTGGAAATATACTGATGTCTTTGTTCTGCAGAGGAGCAATGGATAGCCCTTTCCTAGTGAACATTACTTTGGAGTCAAAACCATAATTTTTCATGATGTTTACAACACATAGAGATCCTTCAGCTAGATCTGGAATGGGAAACAGCTTAATTATATTTTTAACTTAGGTGCAGCACCACATTAGCATGACTAAATTGCTTCTAGAACTTGGACTAGAACTCTCTCTTGGCACTTTGTATGTCACACAGAGCATAGGGATCTGTGGCAGAGGTCTGTGCCACACAGGGCAGAAAACTTCTGTGGTCAGAGTCCTGGTCATCAGCCTTGTCTCCTGCAGAGAAATTGCTCCAAGCTTATTCTGGCAAAGAGAGTGGCTAGAAAAAGCTACACCAACTTTCCACACATGCCTCCTAGGTTTTGGGTTAAACGACACAGTCATAAACATGTGGAGACTGCCAAAACACTTAACACTCACTAATGCTGCATAAGATGGAAACATAGGTACTGCCCCTGTTGAATAATGTTAAGAATTCAGGGTAAAGCCTATGTAAGAGCTCTACTGGAAGATGCCCAGATGTAGGTCTACTTTCAAAATTCTACCTCATAGACACTGCACACTGGTGTTTTAGCTATTGAAGAAAATAATAAAAACTAGTCTAAACGTAGAGTCCTCTCATCACACGCCTGCTGTAATCCCAGAAAAACAGCCCTAGTCCCATTTGCTTCTGATGATTTTATTTGTTTCAGCCTTTATTTATGAATAATAAAGCTGAAAACCTCAGTCTTTACACAAATCCTGACATCTGCTTTGCAAACTGTGAGGGGACCTGCAGTGTAGGAAGTCAGATATATTCTGAGGCCGATGGACAGACAGAAAAGTAGAAATTAGAATACACTGTTGCCAAATTGCAGTGAAAATATTCTATCCCAGCACAATTACCCTCCTAGCTCACTTGCTATAATCCTACAGTCAGATCTGGATAGGCAAGTTCCTACCCCATCACGTGAAAAGATCTGTAAATAGTGGGTGAAGCTAGGCAAACACATAAGTCTTTGCAGGATCAGGGCCATAAAAACCTGAAATTTTTATGCATAATATTTGTACATACAGTTACACATACAATATTTATATATAAATGTCATTTGTTCTGTTTTTCCTTTCTAAGCTGCAAACTCAATACAAGAAAAATCCTGGCAGTGTCACCTCTCTTCCTAGAAAATTTAATAGCTGCCTTCTGCAGTGATATCTCCTTTTAATATGACTTTACCATTTTTACAAAATATACTAAATATAGTTGACTAGTATGTTTTCAAGTATCATAAATAATTAAACAAACAATCCTGTCAAAAGAAATTTAGAAAAAGGGCACATTTTCTAATGATTAACCCGTGTTTTTTACATTTTATAATTTTCACTTATTTTTTAGTAATAGATACAAAATCCAAACAGCTGTCTGATCAGTCTTAATCTGAAATTATGAACATTTGAAGAAAACATAACTTTGATCTTTGAATTTCCACCCACAGGCAAGCTAGGCTATGAATGAGTATCATCAATCAACCTACTAAAACTGGTTAAAAATACCTTGTGTTTGGACAAAATATTAGTAATAGCTTTATCTGACTTTTTTTTTTTTATGTGTCATTTAATAAACAAAGGCACACAAGTGCACTTACGCACAGTGCCAAGCCCAAGCCCAAGCAAGGTGTGATTGAAGAATCTTGAAAAATCTTTCTTTTTAAAGGAAGATTTACAATCTTGGGTGAGGTTTCTGCTCACCACCAGTGTTAGAAATCTTTGAGTGGGTCAAGTATGCAAAGTTTTTCTCCTTGACTATAAAAAACAGAGCTCTCTCCCCTTGCTGCATTGTATACACAATGGCAAGCAGGATTCTCACACAATTCTCCCTGACCTGGTGGCTGAGGTATTTAGAAAAGAAATGAGAAAATTTTAAGCCTTTGCAGCACCAAACACAGCTCCTGCCCCCAAACTGAGCTCAGGCAGGTGGAGCAGTCCCAGCACAATGCCTGTGAACATGACTGTAGAGGTCAGCTCCCCGAGCCCAGGGCAGACAAGAGATGTCCCCATGTGTGCCCCGACACTCGTGCCTGAGCACACACGTGCATGCACCAGGTGGGATTGGGAGCTCTGCTTATCACTGGTTTTAAGCCAAGTTTCTCTGACAAGAATTTTCAGCTGTTTGTAATATTGTCTGATTTATAGTCCATTATGCTAACATTTTTCAATCTAAGTATCTGAATCAGGTTGATTTTACATTTAAAAAATAACCTCATCTACACAAACACTTATATGGGTATGTGTATAGGCTTGTATTCACACACTTTCAGATCCATGAGATAATTTCTGAAGGTAGTATCAAACTTCATGCTTTCTTAATCTCTTTATGTAGATTTTTCAGTGAAATTAATTAAAATATTTACAAAAATATCTAAACAATGCATTCTTAAATTGTGAGGGTCCAGCAGACCCATTTTAGCACTATTTTAACATTTACTAAAAAAAAATAATAATTATCCACAAGTTTAAGTTGCAATGAACAGATGGATGACAAACGTATGCACAGATGAATTTAGTGACAAATCCATGTATCTCATTTTTATGCCCAAAACATAATACCACTGTGTCAAACATAATCCCTAGAGAATTCTAACACTGGGAAGGGCACCTTTTCTCATTTTACTATAAAAATGACCCTCAATCAGTGACAACCCCATCTAAGCCACTCCCCATGACAAGAAGCTCTCTGACCTCGATGTGTGGCAGTGCTGCAAAAAAAAATGGTAAGGGAAAATTATGGCTTTCTAATAGAGAGACCCTAATACCTGGCTGAACTGTAAGCTTCTAGTTGCTCACCCTATGCCAGTTAACAGCGAGCTCCCTGCTGACTTCAAAAGACTGGCCTTTTGCAACTGAGGGAAGACCTTTGTAATGTTTCTGTCAAGAATTAAGACGTCAGGACAACTCTTTCCATCGCACAGGTGGAATAAAAAAGTTAAATTTGATGCTGGAAAGAAATAGAAACATCATCTCTTACTGCTGCAGACCTTGTTTTTCCCCATATCTGGCAGCAAAACAGAAAGAGTTTGGAGTCAGCTATACTGTCTGTCACCTCAACAGGATCTGTAATGAATTTGCACATTTTGCTCCAACTACTGTATATCTAATCAGAAAAAGATGTCCCCATATCTCCCTGATCTAGCGCCAAATAGTAAAAGGTGATTCCTTATGTTAACAATTTCAGCAGAATGGCTTATTAAAACCAGATTTTAGGGTATTATAAAATGCTTAGAAGCCCTTTAAAATGTCAACCAGAATCCCCAGAGACTGCGTAAAATGTCAGCCCAGCTCAAGCGCCTGTTTTAAGCAGAATGAATTAGCAGCGTGCTGTCGGAGGTTGTTATCCAAAACAATCAGTTAAGAGTGAAAACATCAAGCTCTCTTTGTACTTTTTATATGAAAAGGGCCATTCAGAATGATCGTGTAGATTTCTGAAGCTGATTATTTAAAAACAGGTTTAACCAGGTCTACTCTCAACTTAGAAACAGACCAAAACTATTACTGCCTTGTCCTCAGTCTAATCACATCATACACCTCTGACCAGTATAATCCCTTTTAACCAGTATAAGGTTATTTTACCATTAACATAACCAATTTAGTCTTCTAATCCTGTTCACATAACTAATCTAATCATCTTGTACCACCCTTTTAATCATAGGTTAATATTGTCACATCTGCCATCCACAGCCAATACATTCTACCTCTCTGACCAATTTATCTCATTTCCACTTGCCCCCTGCTAGCTTTTCATAATACCACTCAAATCAAGCTAAACTTCAAACCCCTGACCAGTCTAAAGGCATATTTACCAGCCCTGCAGCTGGTTAATGCTGCCATTACAATTGTGCTATAACTCTCGAGTAGTCTGCAAAACTAAGAGGTTTCACCCATTGGCCTGAGGGATGTTTAGTTCCTGCAATACAGTCTTTACCAGTAAAAATGCAGTAACTCCAATTTGGTCACAGATTTATTTATTTTTTTCGTCAGAAGAGTAATTAATTGGCCTCAGAGATCCTCATTATTCACCTTCTGTATCATTCAGTGTGTCCTAGAGGAATAACTGAGGACAGAATGTGGACCTAGGCATTCGAGCAAGTAGTGCAAAGTTGGAAGACTATGGCATGAAATTCAGCAGATGATGTTTATGATAAATATTGCTTGGGATGTGAACAGTAGAGGATACGTAAATTAGTTCTGATGTATCTTTTTTTATTTCAGGATTCTCTTCAGAATATTTAGAATAAAAGCAGCTTGTGATAGAGATCATGCACTAAAGGCAAATTTAATAGAACAGGAAGGTAATAAAAAATGTTTAAAATTGTCAGTGTCTGAAATAAAAGGATGCATTTTAGGATCTTTTCCCTATGGCCACTGGTTTGACCAGAAAGTGCTAAGGCACAAATCAAATGCTGTGGTGTGCTCCCCCACAGAATCTAGTTATATGAGATTTGTGGGTAAATAAATGATAGCAGTCATTTTGTGCTTCTTTAGCAACCTAATGAAATGAACTGATTTTGTCTATTCAGTTCATGTTTTTGTACCAAAATGGCCACCATAATCTCAGTAGTTACAAAGACACAAGAGCGCTTTATGTTATAGTTAATGTATACTGCTGGGCAGCACGGTGGAAGCTGCTGTTGTCCTTGGCGCAGGCACCAAGAAATAAGATAGATGATGCAGAGACAGTAATTCTGTTGCGTCAGGTGCTCAGCTCCATTCAGTAAATTTTTTTTTTCAGTTTTGCTACTGAAAGAATAGTGGTCAATCATTCTTACCTAGTATCTTGCTGATATTGGAGTTGTGCATGTCAGGGAAGGCTTGAAGGATCTTCCTCCGTTCATCTTTAGCCCACACCATGAATGCATTCATTGGACGTTTGATATGGGGCTCATTGCTGCCACGTCCTCTGGATTCCCGATAAATTCTAGACTCTGAAACTCCTGCGCTTCCTAAAACGAAGAAGAACATTCCCAGCCTTTGCTTCATTACGCAGCTTCCTCTGCCATCAGTAACCTATGTCACGTTACATTCACTGAGTCAGTGTTCCCAATAGGTTAAAGTGTTTCTTTTTGTACTTGAAGCAGTAAGAAATACCATATGCCGTTTTGGGTTTAGGTATTCTATTGATTCAGTATCACTTAGCATAGACTTGATGAAGAGTTTCAATTGGTTTTTTTTCCAACGCAAAGAATTTAGCAGCTTTTCTAAAAAGTCTTTTACTATTAGTAATGTAAACCCAACGCTTCTCCATGTAGGTTTCCTTTGTACTTTCTTCCTTCCTTCCTTACAGAATGCTGGTCATGTTACCTATTTTCTGCCTTTTTTTGTGATGGGAAGGGGGCAATAAATGGCAACATGAGGACTTTTTCTTAAGCATGTCTCTGACTAGTGAATCAACATGTACAAATCTGCCTAGTTCTGAGTTTACCGCTCCATAACAACATAAGCAACAGCAGAGAAAGAAATTAATATTACACTTGCTTCATCAAACCAAAAAAATTCTTACAGATGCAGAGCGTGCATCATCTGTGGATGACCAGGTCTGTAATTGGACTCACTGTGTGATCTCATTTATCCCACATCCATTTGCCTCCCTTATTCCCTTTTACCATCAGATATAAATTCTTGGTCCAGTCTTGGGAAGTGCAGTGTATGAAAAAGATGGCTAAAAATCTCCTCCAGATTTAAACCACCACTCGATGAATCATTTTTTCCTGCCTTGTTTCATAGCCACTTACTGCTAACTGCTCTTACTCCTCACAGGCCTCCAACGCACTTGGATTCTCCTCCAGATCCCATTGACATGTACATGCAAACGTGGAAATAAGGATAAGCCATTTGTACTGACCGTCAGAATCTCCACTCATGTTGAAATCCATCATTGTGTGGCTAAACTTCCCGTCTTCACTCTGTTTTACTGCCAGTTGTTGAGTCAGGGTCTCCAGTGTTGTTTTGTCCTATATGGGATTTGGATCAGCAAAAAAATTAAACATTGTCACTGGAAAGTTGATGGGTAATTTAGAGGGTTGATAAGGAAGTTGGATAACAATTCATTCACAACATTTTACTGAGTCAGGTATTTAACAGTACATAGTAATATTTTTTTCTGGAAGGGATATGTTTGCAGACTCTATCAAGTCCTTCTCAAAACATGCTTATTAGCTAGTGATGAGCAAACTTCATAGTGTTGAAAAGATTGGTTAAGTTAGGCATGATACAATTGGCTGCACATCTGAGGAATGCTTCAGTTCTCTATGTCCTGAGGACTGCAGAGCTGGACTGGAAGTCTAGATGATACACACTCTTTTGCAATGTATTTACTGTTATACTCTATTCCCAGCCTGCAATCATAATGTGGACACATGGCTGACTTTGCCCTTTTTCTTTTTTAAAAGGCAGTATTTTAGGAAGCAGCCCACAGGGGACACCTCTCCCTTCTCCGCCCGCCCCTGGTAGTTCAAAGTTATTCAGACCTTCAGAAAGGGTCAGCCTGATTCAAGCATGATACTTGGGCAGCAGTTTGTGTTCTCATCCAGACTGTTTTGCCCAACCCTACTAACACCCCGTCCGTCATTCATCCAGTCAGAACTATCTGTGAACCCTGGATTGCGACAGGCTAGTGCACGCTGCCAATTCATCTGTCAGGCTGCAGTGGTGTCTAAAGGCATTGCCAGAACAACATGCCAGGACCATTAATTCCAATGTTCTCTGCAAAACACCTCACTTCCCCCCCCTCAAATTGTTTGACTTCACAAATACAAAGGTGTTCTATTTTCCAACTGTTTTTGTTTTCCCAATGAATTTTACTCATAAACATTCTATCTTGCTGACAATCATATGTTTAAAAATAAATCTTTCAGGAAAGTAATAGTAACACTTCAAAATGTTAGGCACCGTGCCTTTTGCAAAGCTAAGAAAATGACATGATACGGAATGATAATAAAGTGGCTCCGGTTGAAAAAATTATTTTGAGCTTTTGAGCTTCTGAGCTTCTTCCTGAAAGAAAGACTGGTGTTTTGCTACTCTACTCCACTCCTGACGATTGTGAAAGATCAACAAACTAAAAAAACTTCCAGATTTCACATGGCAACCAAAGACTTTACAACTATTCTATGTAGCCTAATAATGTCACTGGATTGTATTATAGAAGAAAACAGAAAAGAGAACAACATGAATACAGAAATGCTTCCTGCGATGTGATGTCCCTGCATCTGCAATTCAAAAAACAGTTCAAATTCATGTAAGCTATTTCACAAAGATTTTTTTGAGAGAGCTTGAAAGGAAGCTGATCAGCTCAACTTTGTATACTCGTGAAGTTTAGAGAATGTGAGGTTAACTTGTTTTCTCCTCACATTCATTTCCACTGTGGCTCCCTTTCACACTCCTGGTGCTCTGTCTGTAGGAAGGCACATCAACACCAAAAGAGTGCAAGATGAGTTACCCACTCAGTTTTTGCAGGAAAAGCTCATGGAGCAGAGTCAGGCTATCACAAGAAAAAGAGTTTCTGTAACATTTCCAGGCACAGCAGATCCAGAAAGCTTGGAGAAGCTTTGAATAACACCTGAACTATTCAGGTATTTAGCTTTACCAAACTCTTTGATCTACTGGTTTTAAACCAGCTCTCATTTCCAAAGCAGCCCATCAGCAGACAGACATTCAGGAACAGGATGACTCTGCATTTCTTCCAAATGGATTTCAGCTACATAATGCCAGTCAGCAGTTTTTCCTCAAAAAAACTCTCTATTTACCGTCAACTTCATAATGATAGAGTTCAAAAACATTTGTATCAGAAATCCCTTAAAAATGCTGCCACCAACCTAAACTACAACAAAACATCTCCTCTGGCTGGGTATATTACAGGGGAAGGGAGTTATTCTCTCGCAGACTTTTCTTGAATCATGCATAAACCTCTTAGAGAAACAGAGCGGAGAGCGCAAAGGGCACAGGCTTAACAGCTCTTCCTTTATGCAGCAAACGCAGCTGTTGAAGTCAGAGGCAGTTACATTCAGAACCACACTCTGCTGACATGATCTGATTGGGTCTTAAGGTCAGCAAATACTCTGGCATGCTGTCTGCAAGGTACACACTAAGCACAGCTCATTTATCAGAGTTTGACTTCACAAGACTACAGATGCTCTCCTGCTATCCATCTCGGGCAGAGTTTTGTCTTTTTGAGGTACGGTCACATCGGGTGATGTCAGAGAGCGCAGGCGTGACTGAAGACGGGCTGCAAAGGAATGCCAGGCGAGCGCTGAGCTGCTGGGCTGCACTGTCAGCCACAGTGCTTGGAGGGGGCTCTCTGGACAGCCAAAACACGGGACACAGTGGAAACCACCCTTTCAACATTGTGACAATTTGCTCCCTGCTATTTAAACATAGAGAATGACAATATAATTCAAGCAGCAACAATAAGGTGGCAGTTGAAAAAGGAATTCTGCACCACGTTGCTCTTGAAACAGCAGATGTCAAAACAGTCAGCTGTACTTTTCTGTGTTCATGTGTAGAAATTTCTCAGTTTAAAAAGTACTCAGGCAAGAGTAAGTCTAAGGCCTGCTCTTTCCTAAGCCTCTGCAACAGCATTAGGAGAGCGGAAAGAGATCAGGGACACTCTGGCAGGATGTGAAAGCCTGGCTGTATGTAAGCAGCATTCCTATTTCCTCTCCTACACTCTTCCCATTAAACACATGGCACCTGATTTTCCCCAATCCAGACATAAAGAAATGCCTTTAGAACAAAATATTACAAAATATTTGAAAGGGGCTAAGCAGCATTCCCATGTTGTTTTGCCAAAAGCATTCAGTTGATGACACGCTGGGTTTTTTGGGGTTTTGTTTGTTTGTTTGTTTTGATGGGAGCATATTTTTACCTTTCCTACAGAGTTCATGGGCAAAGTACTTATGGGAGCTCTGACGAAACAAAGAGAAAAAAATAATTTCTTCCTTGACCCTAAATAAACTGGCAGCCTGCTGACATTGCTAGCCCAGTGGCCTCTCACAGAACCTACTTAAGAACTTCAGAAAAAAGATCCACAGTCATTTCAAGATTATGTAAAAGGAGGATCTATTTATCACCATTATCTTAATTCCACAGCAAATTACACATTTTTTAAACTGCCACCACTCCACTGTGTTAGATTAGCTGTGTCCTCAGTAGCAAGCTGTGGTACCAGCCAGTGAGAAAAGTTGCAGTACATGCACGTTTGGTTGAGCAGCACACTTGAATGAAGTAGTTGTAAGACAGCACTGCAACCATGGAGGCAGTAGCACATTCCTGCACCCTAAGCTGGATGATGCTTTAAACTTATTTTAACATTATATCGAGCTCTACATCCAATTGTCTTGCTGGGCAGAGGAAGAAATGGGGAAGAGTATTCAGCTGATGAAATCATGCACGCTTTCAGGATTTTAAAGCAACAAGAAAATAGTCAGAGTGATAACCTCTTTGTCTCAGATTTGCTCCACACCCCAAAAGTATCAAATGCTATTCATCCTCCAAGCAATGCATGAGGGGCATCAATTGCAGCATAGAACCAATACTGCCATGATGAACAGGCAAAGCTGGTCCAGATGCAGGGAAACACTGCCAAGTCTTGCTTGTGAGACCTGCTAAAAATCAGACTGCTTGAAGCAGAGAAACAAATGGTAAGGAACGCTTCTGCTCTTGCAGGAGGAGAAACATAGGGTTCTCTTGGTAAAGATGAAGCAATTCCTTTTCTTCTAAATTTTTGAGTTTTGGATTAGGCCCCAGAAGGCTGAAAGGCATCTTATAAACAGCTTTCTCCACTATTAAGAACTTCATCGGAGACTAGAAAAAACTACCTAATGGTAATTTCTGTTGGATTGTAGGAGAGACTCTCCACAGGGGCAGCAAGAGCTCTATTTTCTGGACCATTAAAAATTGTAATGGGCAAACCAGAGAAGATAACACTGCAGAGAGCAATCAATTCCACAATAGCCTGATTGTTCAAAGAATAACCAGAGAGGTCTCATCAACAGACACAACGTGATGAGAAGTTTCTAAAACTTTATTAATCAAAGAAAGTAATCTGCTGGACAAGATTGTACCATAGTTCCTAGCAATGTTCTAATTATATTTAAAAGCACAATGAAAAACACATACACACATGGAATGTGTCATGTAGAAAAAATATATATAAAAATGACTAAGCACCACAAGTCAGACTCAGATTTGTGGTCAGCTGCAAAAGTTACTTGGCTCTCTGTCATGGATAGCTGTCATAGTTTAACAAAACATTGATCTAAAAATGACAAGAACTTGGTTGCAGTCTCTTTCATAGAAGAAACATAAAACGAGAAGAGTCAAAACATATGTAGAACAGCCTGATCATGTTTGCCAGAACTCCTCCCACTACTATACAAATGTGAAGGTCTGAGAAATAAAGGCATTCTGATCGATTTGCCTACTCCCCTCTGACCTTGCTGCTTCTGTCTTTTGTGGTACCAATGCCCAGAGTGAGTGCACCTGAGACCATGTGCACGTCTCCACTCCTGAAAGACTCCACACCTCTTCCCAAACACTGCGAATGCTGGGCATACGGCAACGGATCCCTCCTCCCCCTCTTTGAGACATCCTTTTGGCTGGGGTATTTGGCAAACACTGACAGTACTCTGAACTCTGTTAGAATTGTATTTTGGCAAGAGCTGTTTTTCCGATTGCATAATTCAAGATTAGCAGCTTTACTGAAGCAGTCCACTCTTCACTCTTCTACTCCCCTAGCCCTATCCCCATTTCCCCTGATATGAATATTTTGCTTCTCAGTTTGATGCCTGCAGAGATACAGCCAGCGTAGAACATCAGAGGAGGAGTGTGCAGGCCCATCTCTTCACATTCATGCTTTTCTTACTCCAAATGAACTGAAAGACCAGGAGAAAAAAAAATGCATTTGTAGAGTAACTGGAGAGAGCCAAACACAATTACATCTGGACTGCAAGGAGGA